CGGATGTTCACTCTCAAACTGGAAATTATTTACTTCGTGTAATAATCCAATGAACAAAAGCATGCCTCCATTGTGTTGCCAGCTGATGCAGCAACTACATATCTTCCAGAGCAACCATCTGAACCTTGAGCACGAATTAGCCAGCAAATCTCTCCATAAGCCAGGTGAAACTCCTGAAGGGGGAATATATACAGACTTTTCCTCAGAATTGGCCATATCATAATAAGAACAAGAAGCATCATCATGAGCAAGAAGTACAGCTTCCCCTTCAGATGCAAACCAACCAGCCGCAGCAATCTTGCTCCCTATCCCATTAAGCTTAAAATTAAAAGCTTCATCAGTCTCATCACCAACAAACTCTTGATGTAACCTGGCCTAAGTGACTGTCTGCGCAGCATGTCAAATACACGACCAGGGGTACCAACAACAACATAAACTCCATTTGAAAGAATACGTTGGTCCTCACGAACACTGGTCCCTCCCACACAAGCATGTACCTTCACACCTAGATAATCTCCAAGTGCCCGCATAACCTTCTCAATCTGCTGAGCAAGCTCGCGAGTTAGTGCCAAGACCAAGGCTTGGCATTCCGTTACACTGTAGTCAAGTTGCTGCAGAATCCCAGAGCAGAAAGTGGCGGTCTTCCCTGTTCTGCAAAGCCACCTTTCTTTTTCGATTGTGCTATAACAGGTGACCAATCTTACAAGAATACCATCACAACATAATGAGCTTGATGCGTTTCTGAAGTGATATTTCAAACGAGGCATGCTATCAAATTCTCCATGTTGGCGTCAGCATCGTAAGTATGAGAGAAACATAGCCAATGTCGTTGCTGAAACCGAACTACAACTGCTGGTGTTCGTTGTGTCATTCACTCGCCGATATTGTCACAACTTTGTTCATTATCTTGCCCTATAGCCGTTGAATTTACATCTCCGAAACTTCGACCTGCAGATTGAGAAGTTTGCTAAGCTTGTTTTTTTTTTGAATGCTTCAATGTTGTTGTTGGTGCAAACATCATCGAATAAGAACAAAATATCAGTTCATTATTATTGTTACTGAGCTGTGATTCAGGAAGTTGTCAAGTCCGTCGAACCTGCGTGCTTCGCAGTGTTACGACCATGCCTCGAAACCAAACGCAACCGAACACTACGAGAGTGACATCGTCAATGGAATATGCAAATTGTTGCTGCTGTTTTTTTCGGAGACCTCACAATAGTGACACGAAACTTGCGGTGAGTTGTTGAGTTGTCAAACCATGCTCAAATGTTCTTTGCATTTTTCTCAATCTGCTACACGATCCGGATACAAACCCTTGCAGTGTTTTGTCCAACTTCTTTGTTTACTGATACTGAAGGTGGAACAAGCTAATTGTGTAAAAGACGATCACAAATTTGCTATTGATTCCTCAGTGTCTTCTCTTATTGTTTCTCCGAGCAACATCTTGGCGAAATTGATGGCGGTTTGCGTGGAGGATGCTTTCGTTGGTGCGGATTGAGAAGAGTGAAATGAGAACTGAGTCTCACTTTTGGAACCCTTTCACCGAGAGAGAACGGAGATCTACGTGTGGTTGTATGAAGCGGAGAGGTTAAGGTGAATGGTGGGTGTTTTGATGATTTGAGGTTGAAGGAAATGGACATGGTGATGAGGATTTCGTGAGAGATTTGGTTTCGTGAGGGTTTGGTTTTCGCAGCGGGAGAAGACGAAGGTTTCAATTGAAGGATGGTGAAGGAGAAAGAGGAGAAGGTTCGATTGAAGATGGTGATGGCAGATTGAGTTTGAGGGAAAGGTTAGGGTTTCGTATATGGGTGGCTGCGGCCGTTTTTTTTTCCACGAAGGAAGATGAATAGTGCTCCGAAATTAGGGTTCCTGAAAAGGGGGAGGCCCAATTTAGGGCTCGATGAACAGTAACGTCCTCTATTCTCTAGGGTAAATTATCCTTTTATACCCAACTTCACAACCGTGTTTCTCACTCAGTTTCTTTTTCTATTTTTTCTTTTAATTTTTTCTGAATAATAAACTAAATTAATAAATCTATTTCCTATTTATAATTTAATTCTAACTGTTAATTACAATTTTAAATCTAAGTTAATTAATTAAAATCTAATCTAATTTAATTAAAAATAAATAATAAAAAAAATTCTAAATTTTAATCTAATTTAAAACTCTACCTCTATTTTAAATCTATTAAAATTCTAAGTTATAAACAAATTCTACTTTAAATCTATCTAATTAAGATTTTTAATTTAAATCTTAGTTTCTAATTCAAAACTAATTAAAAAAATATATTATATTAACTTATCATAAAAAAATAAAATTATGAAACAAAAAATAATGATAAATATATACAAAAAACAAATGCCACGTGACATGCTCTTATTGGGCTAAAAAGTGAAAATGCTTGTTTTTGCTGAAAATTACGCTACGCTGTATAAGCGAGGTAAATTAAAAACAAAATCAGGCAAATAAAATTTCTGAAAAAAGGTAGGACAAATTTGGGGTATGACACGCAGCACAATATAGATCCTCCAGAAAATTTGTCTGTTGAACAAAATTGAGATGTAACAGCCTTTTGTTGAGAGATCGAGTCCTTTTTCTTCCCCCTTAGAGATGAGAAATAAGAGGGTTTGACAATTGGAGAAGAAGTTTCCCTTGTTACTTCTGGCAACGACAAAGGAAGGTGTTTCGAACGGGCTTTCAAAATTTGGAGGGGGGGGGGGATTCCAAGATCCAATAGCTTTTTGGATTTTCTAGCAACTTGGGCCTTAGCGCTAGAACACACCTTTGGGCCCAATTGACACGATCCACTCTTGTCTTGAATATTTTCAATCAGTCCTGTTCCAGTAGAAGCATGAGAGGAGTGTTTTCCTGGGACCACCTGACACACGCCGTCATTGGCATTATTGTTTGTTTTTACAGTATCTAGCTTTTGTGTCTCTTCCACTCCCTTCTCTAAACTCACGTGCTGCATTGGAAATATCAATTGTGCATGGGGAACAACCGGCTCTGGAAGTGGAACAGTGGGTGATTCACCCATAAACAGTTGAGCAACTTCGAACGTGCATGGGATATTCTCAGATTCCTCAACTGTGACCTCATCCCCATCTTCTCGATTCCAATTGTAATCATCTTCCTCAGACTCACTTGGAGAGTAATCTGATTCTGTTTCCGATTCCGAAAAAGAGATCTCTCATAATGGACTAACAGGATCCTCATAATCTTAATAATCAAAGAATGACCATTAAGAATGACTTCAATATCATCTTTCACAGCTTCTGCATTTTTGATTCTAATTAATAATCTTGCCACATCCATTTTTCTCTGTAACCTAGTAGCATCATCTGCGCAAAGCAATATCCCGATAGGTTGTAACAGAGCTTTAAAAAAAGAATCATTCCACACTTGACATGGTATCCCATAGCATTTCAACCAAGCAATCCGTTCATGATCAATATCATTTAAGTTCCATGGTTTAAGCTATCTAAACCATTAATTCATCCAATGTTCTTCTTCTTGCATTAAAGACTGCACAACATCTTCTTTTAAATCTTCAAGTAAACACTTGTTTGCACCTAATGGCGTAATCTTAATAGATAAGAATCCTCTTGCGCATGAAATGTCTTGGAGGTTGTAAGTAATGCCAGATTTAAAAACAGTTCGAATAAAAGCTTTTCTGAAACGATCCATGCTTTCTTCAGATTAATCAAACACCACTTTCTTTTTTTGAGGCTGAGAATGAATAGATTTCGTTGACAAAGCTTCTGCATAGGATATGTGGTTGTTGCTCCTGTTTCCAATATGGCAATTTGTGTTCTTCCTCAATACTCCAGTCTGCCTCAATACTCCAGCACTTCTCTCCTCTTGTCTGTTTCTGTCACCCTTTCTATGTAGACCTCCTCTTTGGTCAATTCTTTGAAAACGAGGGAGGTTCACAAATATCTTCTTGTTCTGTAATATTCTTGAAAAACTTCATACATAGGCTAGGCACCCATATCTTCCAGAAATGAAGTGAAAAAAAAATTGGTCCTTATTACTTCAGCTCTCCTTCTATAGGTTATTTCAAATCTTCTTCCATTATTGCGCATGTTATCCCACCTTTTGGTGTTCCGGCGACTTACTGGCTCCCAACCCTCTCTCTCCATCCCGCACTTAAACATTCTTCAAGGTGAATCTTTTGGAATCTTCGCGCCAACTGTTTAAAATAATGCCTGATAGATAGTGTGATGGAGTCTTGTGTAAGGAATTGTGGTATAGATCAATGATCCTCCAATGCCACCTTCTGGATTGTTTGATGAGATGGAATCACTCGATCAGTAACACCTTCTTAATTGTTTGATGAGATGGAATCACTCGATCAGTATCAGATAATTGAAGTTCAAACCATCCGCACCCATGACAAATAATTGAAGTTCAAGCCATCCGCACCCATGAGTTTTCTTCGTTTGTTTGTTGCATGATTCATTTTAGAGTTTTAAATGAATTATACTCATATGAATATTTGAAAATTGTAAATGAAATGTTCAAATAATTAAAAAGTGGGAAATAATATAAAAAATTTTGTAAAATCCATTTAAAGAATTAAAAAGAATTTTTTGAATGTAGGTGCTCTAAGTTTTCTTTCAAAATTTAGCAAATGCTGAGGTTTATATGGAGAAGATAGTTGCTGAACAAACTCCTTTATCTTTCAAAAAGATAGCGCAGATGTATATCTTGTGCTATGATCAACTATAGTTAAGAAATAATGATTTTCATCATAAGTAGTTTTTTAAATGGACTCCATACTTCACAATGAATCAAACCAAAAGATGAGAGACAATAGGCATTATTTGAAGTAAACCAAAACAATCAGAACTTTTTTCCTACATTATATTACATAGAAGTTATTAGCTGAACACCCAGCCAAATTTACACCTTTAACAAAATATACAAGATACAAAAACTAGAATTTAGAGTAAAAACAATGTCACTGTTTACTTGTTTCAAAACCATACTAATTTCATTCAAGCATGATCATCAAATTCTTTGAGAGCTTGGAACACTCTAGAGCTTCTATCAAATATCTTAGCCCTTCTATTATAATCATTAGCTTCTTTCCCAACATCATCCCCCATTATTGCTTCCTTTTCCAAACACTCCAACAACTCCACAACTCCTTTCCTTTCTCCTCCACACTTTTCTCTAAACCTCATCATTCCACTATTACCCTTACCCTTGCCCTTTTCTTCATCAATCTCATCTTCAAGCTCTCTCTCCATCTCTCTTACTATCCCACTTTTACCCTTTTGTTGCTTAACAACACAACCAACATGTTTTGGGCAAGAAGCTTTCCCTTTTCCCAACAATGGTTTCAAAGTTACATGGCCTTGATCATGATGGTTAGGACTAATCAATGAAGGAGAAAAGAAAATATTGTGGACATTAGCAACCATAGAAGAACCTTTCATTTTTAGATATACTTGTGTTTGAGATACATGCATAGAATAGAATGTGTGTATATAAATACAATGTTTGAATACACGTGTCGATATTATGGTCAAGATTTAGGGACGTGATAATCTTTCTGACACTTTTTCTAAGACGGTGACAGGTTGTTCGAGATTATTTGAGGATGTCCTCCACATAGCATCTAGACAAAGAAGAATGGGACACGATAGTATTATTTTGTAAAATGTGTAGAAATTGGTTACTAACTTATCATAGAAAACAAAGAGTTGGGTTTTATTTGGATCACAAAAATTTAAAACAATAGAAAGTGAAAAGAAAATTGATTTTCCTTATTCTGAATGTAAACAAACTTATCCACTCTTAAATTTCCAGGCCAACTTGAACATACCTGCCTTATTCATATCTATTAGATTCCTCACAACTAGACTACCCTTGTCTTTTGGTTGAGAATTTCTTTTGTTTTTTTACCTCACAGTTTGAAATTTCATTAATCTATTTAGGTTTTGAAAATTTTAAGAGGCAATATATATATTAGGTTTTTAAAGATGCATCTCTGAAAAAATTCATAGACGTATCTCTGAAATTTTTCTTAAAACATTTTTAAAATAGAACCATATAATAGACACTCACATTAAGCTGAAATATGAACCAAATATGTATAAAAATTGAAAAGATGAATATTAACACTTCATTTATATTGAGATACAAATTTATATAAATATTTGTCCGGTTAAATAAAAAATTAAAATAAATTGAAATAAGTGTCGTCGGCTAAATCTATAAGTGGTCCTCCTTGGACTTTTGTGCATTCGATTCTTTTTCATTGTTATTCAATCTCTCGAATTCTTGCATCCTTTCTATGAAATGATTCGGCCGCATCTCGACTTTTGCGGTTGAATGAGCCATCCACTCCGGTGATGTAAGTGGTATGGGACAATAATCCAGGTTCAAGTAAACTTGAATAAAATGACTTGATTTTTAAAGTCATCTAATACACATGATACAATCATTTGGATTTTGGTGTGGTGCGGTGTGCAGTGGGAAAAAGATTTTCGAAAAACCATAGCGTGTCAGGTCAATGCACACCCTATCATATGTACATGCAATTAGGTGAGCCATATCCGGGAAGCTCATCCATTTTGACTCCGGTGTCGGACCGCTCAAGCAAGGAACAATAGCTCACAAACCACATTAAATTTTTCTTTATTTTTGTACAACCGTGTGTACGATTCTTTATTCGTCTTCAACTCTTTGATAAGTTGATGTCGGACAAGCGCATGACTATCTTCTCCTTTACTGAGTAAATATGAAACGGCTCGGTAACCGCAATTACCGTGCCCCACAACATCGATGATCTGTTCAATATAGTTGTGCATAAAAACCGACATCTCGTCGATGAATGGAATCTTTGCTGGAAGCGGCGTCAGAGCTGGTTTACTAACGCGACCTCCTTTCACAACACTTTTTAGAGATTTTAGAGTCGGTGAGTCGGAAAAAACTTTATCAACGTGTTCAAAATATGAAGGAGACTGTGTAGTCGAGTTGTCATTCAGTGTAGGCTTCATTTTCTTCAGAGCACCATTTTTTTTACCAGTTGAGAAGGCGGTTTCATGTCGGTGGTTTCGAGATAAGAAATCCTCCTCAATTGTTCTTTGATGTGTAGTTTCATGATGTCATTGGCCTTCGAAAATATCTCTTCGCTTTCCATTGGGTCAAAATTGAGATATTCGATTTCCCGTCATCCATGCATCCATCATCATTGAACCTAAGTCTCTTCCAATGAGAGAAAACCTCGTCCATTCTTATTGGTTCACCAAGTTTCACCTTTTCAGCAAGTGTACAAGAACACGAGAGACCATATGTTTTCACAATAATGCAAACACACTTTGCGCTATCGGAGCCTACATTATCAACTTGTTTAGCTTCATGAAAAATATAGTTCAAATTCGCCCTAGAAATGTTACCGACCAACTGAGAATATAAAGTGTTGTCTTTAAATCGGTGCTCCAAAACCATTATGCTCCGGCCAAATGTTATTTGTATCTCATTATGCTGGTTCTGAATCATGTGGCTCACGGAGTCCCAGTCTCGACACAAATCCCCCTTGCTATTTCCCAACCAAGTTTTCAGAGTAGCATGGGCCGACTCAACTCTGTTAGTAATTGTATTTTCAAGGTGTCTAACATTATCAGTCCACGCGCAAACTATCTTCTCCTTCACCTGATCAAGAATGGTGCTTTCAACATATTTCAACAAAGCAGGATATTTTTCACACACTTTCTGGAAATGAATAACGAAATTGACATATAATTATTTTGTGGAAGAATTTATTATACGATTCCATGCATCCATTTTTTTCCATAATCACACCCGCCTTCACCAACTTTCCACCTTCGAACTCTATTAGTTTCGTCCCTACCGCAAGTTTTGCCTGACTTGTCACATTCTTTGTTATATGATACTTACAATGTAATGCATAAGAAGAAGGAAATACCTTAGCAACCGAGTTTATCAATGCGGTATCGCGGTCGATAACGATCATTTTAGACATCTGATTTTGATCCTTCAAAAGTGATCGACACACCTCTAATGCCCAAGTAAAGTTGTCCTTTTTTTCACACTCAAGAAATGAAAAACCAATAGAATATGTCTTCTTTGTTGAGGTAACACCAACCATCTCAAATAATGGAAGTCTATACTTTTTTTGTCTTATAGGTTGAATCAACCGCCTTCACAACAACCTCTTGAACATTCAGAGAAACATCTACCGCACGTTCTATATCGAATCAGGACAAAAAGTCTATAATTTATCGAATAATGGAAGTCCCATTTTTTGTAAGACTTCCATTATTTTATCGAATAATGGAAGTCCCATTTTTTGTCTATACTTTATGTCTTCTTTGTTGAGGTAACACCAACCATCTCAAATAATGGAAGTCTATACTTTTTTGTCTTATTTGGAAGTCTATCACGATTTTCAAACTCTTGCTTGCTATTAAAGTCGTTTGCAACATCTACCGCCTTCACAACAACCTCTTGAACATTCAGAGAAACATCATTTGGAGAAACCAATTATTTTGGGAAAACGTCGGGGTGCACCATACTTATGGGAAACAATTAAAAGAAATAATAGAATATTAATTAATCTACTACTGCAGAAGGGATTGAAAATGAACACAAACACATTTTGGAAATGTATCTCCAAAAAATTTCAAACTCAAACACATTTCAGAGATACATCTTTGGACAATGCGTAAGTTTTTTCAGAAAAAGATGATGATTAATGTAAGCAATGTAGATGATAAACAATAATATTTACATAAATTCAATCTTCTTTTGCTCCCTGTGATATGTTAAACCAAAAGGATGGAGATTCAGAGTGAAAAATGGATTGAGAATGAAGGGTTTTTGTTGAAAATGGAGTATGGAAACAATGTGAGACTAATCATGCAGCTGCAAGCTACATCAAATACTTCCGAAGATGCATCTCCGAAAATACCTGGCTTACAATGGTAACAAAAACCATTTCAAAGATATATCTCTAGAATAAAAATAGACCAAATGTATGAGGCGTATCTCAGAATTGCCTTGGTTTCGTATATAAAGGGTGCGTCCGGAGATATGTCTTTGAAATCGGGGGGCATAATTAGAAATCCAAACGGTGCACTAGAAGTTTATAGAGTGTAATAAGAAATTTTCCTTTTGGTTTGGTTATATTATCCCACTTCATAGTATGAGCCTTTTTTCTATCTTCTGATATATAAAATCCCGTTGGACCTTATGATTTTCTTTCAAGCTCTTTTTAGGAAGATTGCAATTCATCATGTAGTATGTTGGAATCGCTTCTATGACAGTTTTTTTTCCAAAGTTAATCTTCTTGCAAAAGACAAGTTTTTACCTTTCCAAGAGACTAATTTAGTTTTAACTTAATCCTAAATGTATTGATAATTTTTACTCTTAGGATTCTTCCCAGTTAGAGGAACACCAAGATACTTGCATGTATTTTTTATCTTTAAAGGTTGTAATATGAGTAGGATGCCTCCTAACATGCTTTGGGGTATTATTGGAGAATAGGATTTTGGTCTTATTAATGGTGATTTTCTGACCTGACATATAACAAAATTCTTTGAGGATTATCTTGATGCATTTTATCTCTCTTTCAGTAGCTTCCCCAAATGACAGTAGATTGTTAGCAAACATGAGGTGAGAGATCACGAGACCCTTTCTATCTGCTTTTAGACATGTCCAGTTACCATTTTCAACCATTGCCTTAATCATATGTGATAGCTTGTTTATAAAAAACACAAAGATCTAAGGATACATTGTGTCACCTTGCCTGAGGCCCTTTTTCATTTTAAAATTGTAACATTCACTCCCATGCCATATAACCTTCATTTTGACAGAGGAAATATCCTTCGTGATTACTTTACTCATCTCAATAGGAATGTATGCCTCTATAAGAACATTTTCCACAAAATTCCAATTAAGATTATCATAAGCTTTAACAAGGTATACCTTTATAACAAAATCACTAGTTCTACTTTGCATGTGATTCATGGTGTGCAACATTTCTTGGGATACAATAATGTTTTCCTGAATGTTCCGTCTAGGTATAAATCTAGTTTAGAAAGGAGATATAATGTCATTAATACAATATTTTTTCATAATGTTTCATTTGTTAGACGACAACAATGATCTAGAAGAGGGGGGGGGGGGGGGGGAGGGGGGGTCGAATATATCACTTATTAAAAACAGAGTCGACGCTTATTAAGATTTGGATTTTAAAAAGTTTTAAGCGGAAGCGGCTGAGGAACTATACTCATCTAAACGAACCGTTACCAAAAAGATCGGATGCAAAACCTATATGGAATACCGATAAAGACAAGAATTAGAATCAATAGTTTGAACACAAATCAATCATATTTTGTTCACTTAAAGTTGGACAGTTTCTAATGCATGTGAAATATAAACCAATTGAAAAATAGCTCAAGTGTTTGTG